ATTTCCAGGCTGCAGATCAGTGGGACCGCTGGCTGCGTCGTTTTAACCGCTACCGTCAGGCGTCTGGTCTTCACACCCAACCGGAGTCGGTCCAGGTGAACTCCCTCCTCTACACGATGGGCGAGCAAGCTGACGACCTACTGGACAGCTTTCATCTACCTGAGAATGACGTGAGTAAATTTACCACAGTCACTGAGCGTTTCACTGCCCACTTCGGCAAGAAGAGAAATTATGTGTACGAACGTGCATGTTTTCATCAGCGCACCCAACAGCCCACGGAGTCACTAGATGCATTCGTAAATGATCTCTACCGCTTGGCAGATAGGTGCAACTTCAAGGCCATGCACGATGAGATGCTCCGGGACCGGTTGATCGCAGGGTTAGCAGATGCACGTCTTTCTGAACGCCTGCAAATGGATTCGGATATGACGCTGGAGAAGGCGCTGGCTCACGCTCGCCAAAGCGCTGCCATCAAGGAGCAACAAACGACGGTACGTGCAGCAGCTCATCAGTCGTTGTTTGCTGTCCGCCAGGATCAGGGGCGGCTGCGTTCTAGTCGCGATCGTCCTCCGCTGCGTGATGCTCCCAGCTCCTCGCGCCACTTGACTCCATCATCTGATTCTTGTCCTTGGTGCGGATACGAGTCACATCCCCGCGCACGATGTCCTGCAAGTCGTGTAACCTGCAAAGGGTGTGGCAAGACAGGCCACTTTCAACGAGTGTGTCGCTCTTCGCCACCATCTGGTTCCTCCGGTTTTTCTGGACGACAGGGCACTCATCAGTCCCCGCGGGGCACAGGTGTCCATTCTCTCTCCAGCCACAGTGATTCCTCTAGCTCGGCAGTGAGTTCTGCTGACGCATTTCTGGGCACCCTCACCCATGGCACAGGCTGGAATCTCCCTATGCTTCTGCACGGCAAGGCCATAACTATGAAGGTCGACACGGGTGCGGATGTCACTGCTATACCAGCTACAGTGTTCACGTCCCTGGACTTGCCTATCTCGCTCGCCCCATCGAACCGTACTCTCCGCGGCCCAGACAACACAAGCCTCAATGTTTGTGGCCGGTTTACAGCTGACCTGCGCACAGCTCACTCATCTCAGTCTCACTCCGTGCCCACCCAGGTGTACGTGGTCCGCGACCTCAAGCTTCCACTGCTCGGACGTCCAGCCATTGAGGCTCTCGGCATCCTGCCTGCTCCTGCGAACGTCCTGGAGACCACCTCTACCTCTAGTGCCTCAGCTTCAGACTCTCGCTCTCCTGTTGCCGCTGAGTTTCCTGACCTGTTCTCGGGCCTAGGTACCTTCGGTCCTCTCCACACCATTCAACTTCGCGATGAGGCTCCTCCATACTCGCTTTCCACTCCTCGGCGAGTTGCTCTGCCCATGGAACCGAAGGTTATTGAAGCCCTCCGTCGCATGGAAGCCGCTGGCGTCATTCGCCCAGTGTCCGAACCGACCGATTGGTGTGCCGGCATGGTCGTTGTTCCAAAACCAAACGGCAGCGTGCGCATCTGCGGTGACTTCACACGGCTCAACAAAGCCGTCAAGCGCGAACGGCACATTCTCCCTACCACGGACCATCTCCTCGCTCGCCTCGGTGATGCCAAGGTATTCTCCAAGCTGGACGCTAACAACGGGTTCCACCAAATTCCGTTGGCGCCGGAGTCGCAGCTTCTAACCACCTTCATCACGCCCGTCGGCAGATTCTGCTATACGCGGCTCCCCTTTGGCATCTCCTCGGCACCCGAGTATTTTCAGAAACAGATGTCAGATCTGCTCAGCGACCTCCCTGGCAACATCTGCATGATGGACGACGTCCTCACATTCGGCTCCACCCTCGAGGAGGAGGTCGACAACCTTCGACCAGCTCTGGCCCGTCTTCAATCCGCCGGTGTCACGCTCAACAGCGAGAAGTGTCAATTTCATGCCACCTCGATCAAGTTCCTGGGCCACGTGATTGATGGCTGTGGCATCCGTCCAGATCCAGACAAGATCCACGCGATCCAGGAGCTCTCTCCCTGCTCCGATGTCCATTCCGTCCGCCGTCTGCTCGGCATGGCCAACCACCTAGGCAAGTTCATTCCGGACTTGGCCTCCATCACGCAACCTCTCAGGTCTCTCCTCGTCAAAGGCACCCCGTGGCAGTGGGGTGCTGAGCAGTGTGCCGCGTTCGACCGCATCAAGACGTCACTGAGTAACGAGCCCGTCCTGGCCAAGTACTCTCCCAACTACCACACCACAGTATCTGCTGATGCATCTTCCTTTGGCCTGGGTGCAGTGCTTCTACAACGCCAGCCCGACGCGTCCGTCCGTCCTGTAGCCAATTTGTCTCGCTCTCTCACACCAGCGGAAACGCGCTATTCGCAAATCGAGAAGGAGGCTCTGGCTGCAACGTGGGCCTGCGACCGGCTCTCACACTACCTCCTCGGCATGCCATTCACCATTGAGACGGATCACAAGCCACTCATCCCTCTGCTCGGTACCCGTGCCCTTGACGACCTCCCTCCGCGGGTCCTCCGGTTTCGTCTACGGCTACTTCGATTCGACTACAGTATTATCCGCACTCCTGGCAAACAACTCGCAATTGCCGACGCTCTGTCTCGAGCTCCTCTGCGCAGCACAGATGCCGACGCTACTGCCGCACTGGAGGCTGAGACCGCTGCTATGGTGTCGTACGTCACTGAGGCTCTGCCTGCCACTGCGCAACACCTGGATGAGGTTTCAGCATGGCAAAGCGACGACGATAGCTGTGCTCGCATCATCGAGTATCTGCAGCACGGCTGGCCTGCTCCTAGCGATGCTCCTCCCGTAGTGCAGTTTCTTATAGAGCACAGCGCACATTTCAGCCTCACGGACGACGGCTTGCTTCTGTATGATCAGCGTCTCTACATACCTCCCGCTCACCAGCAAGAAATCCTGGCTCGCCTTCTCCAGGGTCACCAGGGCATCACCAAGTGCCGACGCCTGGCCCGCACTTCCGTATGGTGGCCATCACTCTCGTCGGACATAGCTACTCTTGTCCAAACATGTGAAGAATGCAGTCGACACCGCTCTCAGCCACCCGAGCCTCTTCTCTCAACTCCACTCCCAGAGTTTCCTTGGCAACATCTGGCCGCAGACTTCTTCACCATCGACGGTCGCAACCACCTCCTCGTCATCGACTACTACTCTCGGTTCATCGAGGTCCTCGACATGCCCTCGCTCTCCACAGCTCAAACAGTCAGCCATTTCAAGTCACTGTTCGCTCGCCATGGCATCCCTGACTCTCTAACGACCGACAACGGACCGCAATTCACCAGTGCTGAATTTGCCCAGTTTGCATCCACCTATGGCTTCCGCCACGTCACCAGTAGCCCTCTCTATCCGCAAGCCAATGGCATGGCCGAGCGTGCTGTTCGCACGGTCAAGAGTCTGTTCCGTCAGGGCACTGATTGGCACCTCGCACTACTCGCGTACCGCAACACTCCCTTGGAGAATGGTAAGAGTCCAGCCCAGCTTCTGATGAACCGCCAGCTGCAGTCACTCTTACCTCTCTCTCCAACACAGCGACAGTCGCATCCAGTCGATCAGAGCGACCTGCGTGCTGCGGATCAGCGCTTAAAGGATCGCCAAAGCACCAACCATGCCAGTCGCCATGCAGCCCGGACACTGCCGTCTCTGTGTCCCCAACAGCCTGTGTATCTACCTGATCGTGAAGAGTCTGGCCACGTGATGAGCCAACCAGCCTTGCGCTCCTGCATCGTAGCAACCCCATCGGGCCAGTTCAGACGCAACCGGCGGCACATTGTCCCAATGCCAACGCCGCAACAGTTGCCGCCTGCTGGTCACTCTGCCGCTACTACCGATCCTGATCCCCCAGCCAGTCAACCTTCTACTCCGCCGTGTTCTGCAGTTCCCAACTTGCCATCGACCCCTCCAGCTCAAGACCAGCCTGATAAGTATGTCACGGCTCGCGGCCGTGTCGTTCATGCTCCCGATCGCTTCTAACTTTGGTCTCTCCAAACAAAATACTCCACTCTTCTGTCTCTCCCTCTCTTGCTCGTTCTCTTTTCTAATGGCTTGCATGTGCCTGTGTGTCCTCTGTACACCCCTAGCCTTAGGTCTTTTCTTTGTAAGAGGAGAGGATATACATGTACAATGCACTATACTAGAATACTCCCTCGGACAGACCAGGCTTACAGAACTCTGTAATGGATCCCTTCTGCAGCGGTCTTATTGTTTTCACTTTCAAAGTCGTCCAGTTAGGTATCTTCTCCATCTTCTTAATCTACTGCCATATTTGCTCTTACAACCTCAAAGAAAGGGAGGTGTAGTGTCATGTGACTAGATGCATGAAGCCCATGCATACATGCATTCCGATATCATTCCCATCATCATGATCTACTTACATGATCAAGCATTCCATTCCTCCTTCCCACTTTAGCCCGTATGTATATATCTCGTAGATTGCATGTGTTCTAGGTTCTTTGTCTTATCGTAGTACAACAGTTAGAACTAATGTCTTGGCTCTCTGGTTGGTCTGGTTAGACTAAAGTACGAAACACTACACAAACTATGTTCGCAAACTATGTCCATTAATTATGCCTTTTAAATATGGTAAACACGGAACCAAACAACGATGCTCGACACCTCTTGACTTGTCTTGAGTCTCAGCGAGATCGAAACTTTTCAAAGCGCCAGCGCGAAGTGTAATAATTATCCGGATAATCGAACACACATGCTGTATGTATGTATGTACGTATGCATGAAAAATCGGTACCGACTTCTTGATGGCGCGAGGGACTCTTGATACCATGTACATGTAGATCTACCATGGATATGATACGCGGGCCGCTAGCGCTATAGCGCTGGTTCGTACCGTACATGTACGTACTTTCTATTTTGGCTTTTCCCGGACCTGCGCGGTTTTATTAATTTTTTGTCTGGTGTCAATATTGGTGGTACATGGTGGGTATGGACCTATGGTGGTATGGTGTCAATAAAAATTATTAAAATACCGGCAGTAGATAGGCCAGGTTTTTTTCTGGATTTCCCATTCATTTTGATTGTTGCTCGATGCTGACAATTGTGTCGTCGTGAGCTTTACGATCGGCGTTGCGCGTGTGACGACCTGTAAAAGCATAGTGCACATGCTCCGATCACTTGTCCTGGATTCGCTAGCCGTGTCGCCGCGCCCTGCAATACTCTGGCAATTATTATTTCCCTGAACGGCTACCTTTTGGGAGTGACACAATGTCATCCGAACCCAGCACCCCCACAGGCCCCGGCGGCTCTCCGGGCCGATGTCGGCGCGCTCATGGCGCACACATTCTCTGTGCTGGCGACGGCGAGGACGACCTGCGTCGCTTCGGCGGCGGCAAGGCCAAGAACATGTGGAAGCTGAGCAACTTCGGCGGAGGGTGCACGGTACCCGAGTGGTTCTGCCTGTCGACGGTAGCGTTCAATGCATTCCTCAAGGTACAACGGGCACACTGCATATGTATGTAGTACAGTAGGGCGTTCTTGATACGATTGACCAAAAGCAATACTTTTTCTCACCAACCACCACACTATAACTGCGCTCTCCAGCCGACCTCGACACGTTGCCACAGCACACCATCTAATCATCAAAGCGATGATGTGATCATTATTGATGGGAAAAAATCTGTGCAAGGCTGAATGGCTGCTGCTTACCATTGTCAAAAAATGAATTGCTTTTAATAAAAAAATCTGTGCCTTTCACGCCGTTGCATGCGATGAAACGTGGCACATGACGCAATGATGGCGCTGTGCGGATCAGGCTGCACGTTGTCCTGTACCACCCAGGACCTGCGTAGCGCCGATTGCATCATCAGTTGAGATGCTTTGGCGATCTCGCGGCACAGCACTGCACTTGCATTGGCCACTCAACGCTGCATACTTGGTACCCATTTGAAAATCCGCCCTGAAATCAGTTGCGTAACAATTATACCATGCACCACACAACAGCCTCTTTTTACGGGCAAACAAAACACAATTTGAACTCGGATGGTGAGCCAATATAGTTATGATGAAGAAAGGAAAATTTGTTGGTGGACAGTTTGTCGTAACTCGTAACATTTTGTCCTTTTCCTTTCTTCATCATAACAAAACACAATTTGCAATTTATGGAGGAGTAGAAACACAATTCAAGTACCATGCACCTGTACCATACAGAGTTCAGTGAGAGAGCTCCGGTGGAGTGACACTGCCCAGCTTAGTGCCGCTGAGTGAACAGACCGTCACATTCTCGGCTTCAGTTGTGCACCATCAGACCGACAAGCACACAATACAATACACGATGCGTTTTTGCTGCCAAATCATTGTGATAATGTTCAGCTTCTCTCTAAACTGCACCCCCTCCCCCCTCACACACGTGTACCTCTAGCAAACACCTAGCTTCTATAGTGCCATGCAGTTAAAGGGGAAGTATACCCTAAAATCAAATGTTCACCAGTTGTAGTCTTCGGGGTGCTGAGTCGAATAGCCTTGGTCCAAGGAAGCTGAGACGCTCCATTCCTCCTTTATTCCCAATCGAACTCCCGCACTTCCACCGAAACTGGGTGACTACGCCCTACTGGATGGAGATTTGTGTGCACTAAAAGCGCCATTTCATTCTTATAAATGCACGGATGACTGCGATTGGCCCATATGTTGTAGTCTTTTGGACGCTGAGTCGACTGGTTTTGGTCTGAAAAGGCTGCGATGCAGCACTCGGCCCTTATTCCCAATCACGGTTGCGTAAGTGTTAGTTTCTTCTTCCACCTGTATCCACCTGAAGATAAGGCAATGAAGTGCCAGTAAATTTTGAAGTGATGGTGCTGATATTTGCGTCCTTCTGTTCCTGTTCCTGTTCCACGGTGTGTTGTTGTGTGCCTGTTGCGTTCCTTCACTCCAGGAGAACAACATTGACAAGATGGTGGAGGAGGCGGACACCTCCGACTTGGAAGCATTGTCTAAGGCGTTGCACGCACGCATCATGTCCGGTGTTATCAAAGCACCCCTGCTGGAGGACATTGGCCAGCGCCTCGCTCATCTTGGGAACGAGCGCTTTGTCGCGGTGCGCTCCAGCGGGGCAGACGAAGACTCGTCGAGTCACTCGTTCGCCGGCCAGTTTGACACGCTGCTGTACCAGCGCGGTCTGGAGCAGGTGATCGCCGCCATCAAGCAGTGCTGGTCGTCTTGCTTTGCCGAGCGTGTCATGCAGCATCGCCGCGACTGTCAGATGCCAGTCACTGGATCTGGAATGGCCGTCATTGTCCAGGTCAGTCTCCCCGATGATCTTCACTGCCCTTCTCTCTCTCTCTCTTTCTCTCTCTCTCTCCCTCTCTCTTCTCTCTCTCTCTCTCTCTCTCTCTCTCTCTCTCTCTCTCTCTCTCTCTCTCTCTCTCTCTCTCTCTCTCTCTCTCTCTCTCTCTCTCTCTCTCTCTCTCTCTCTCTCTCTCTCTCTCTCTCTCTCTCTCTCTCTCTCTCTGTCTCTCTCTCCCCCCCCCCTAGCTCCCCGTACGTGCATACCTTGGCGTATCCATCAAATTCTCCATTCATCATCGGGTGTACAATTGGTCCTGTGCACTCCATTTCGCAGTATGCTTCTGTTCTGTCCGCACCCTGCTTCTTATGCAGTTGATGATCAATTCCGATGTGAGCGGTGTTGCATTCTCCAGGCACCCGCTCAAGCCCCTATCCGTACCGGCCGTGTACATTGAGGCCGTCCACGGCATTGGTGAGGGTCTGGTCAGCGGAGAGCTCGACCCTGATCATTATGAGGTAAGCCAGAGTGCCGCCGGCATCGTGCCCTTTCACACCCGTTGCCGTGTCACTACACGTATCCTGGTCGTTTGTAGACAGCCAACACCAGTGCAACTTTTTATTTATTTATATCTAAGGATTTCCAGAACAGAATAACAAGGACAATCAAGGCTTGTTTGCTGCTACTTCAAGTTTCATGCTCTCGCAATCATCAGGCAACCTGGGGTATCTAAGGATTCCCCAAAGGCTAAAAACCCATCTAGGGGGTCTCCATGATCAAGAAGGTAAATGAACATTTACATTGTCTCGGCAAATACTCGGGCATGGCTCAGCTTCGCAGCCCAGACCATTCTTATTTTCGTGTGCCGCAGTTCGTGCACAGTTGAGTCACCATGTACATGTATGTACGTATCGATATTATATGCTGCTCTTAGTGAAATCTTAGTCGGTTTGTACTTCGACCGGCCCGACAGCACTGTAGTTCTGTGAGATTATCATAGATTTGTTCCATTGCCTTTTCTCTGTAGGTTGCGTTTGACGAGTCAAAGGTCAGCGTGGAGCTTGCAAACAAGGAGGAGATGTTCAGGCAGCAGGAGGGTGGTGGTGTGGAGAAGGTAACCGCTCACACTGACTAACCATAGTTTGCGCCGTAGCACCCGGTTCGGCCGGTCTGGCCATCGCCGGACCTTGTATCCGAACAACTGTTGCCCCACCAAATTCGTGTAAAACTGGGTTTTCGTCAATAGAGCTTTTTCAAGGATGGACCAACTGTCACTTGCTTTGGGATCACGTGCGAGAAATTTTTGAATCGCTGTTGAATCAGGACAGGCGAAGCCCGGGTTGCATTCAGTTTGTACGGGAATGGACGCGTGGAGGTGAAAGAAGCACTAGGATGGCGCTCAACTTCATGTCCGATACTTGTGTTGAGTCAAAGCAGCTGTCAGGAAGACCTTCCATGGCTTGGGCGAAAAAGGGCCAGCTCCAAAATCGCTCCAAGCGCTGGTGAAGACGAATCTGTCGCATTTCGTGTACTTTCAATGTGCGACCTGTTGTTCACCACAACCTCGGGGTGAGCGCCGTTGACGGGCACGGTGCCGTGTCCTTGAAAAAGCTCTATAATGTTCGTTTCCGGTGTAAATTATCCCATTTGGCTGGGCCACCTGAAATCCTCGTGCTATGGCCCGCTAACCAGGGTTTGTGCCATCTTGTAATGGCTGACTGGTGGTGGGACCCTACCGCAGTTAAAGTTGTGAGCCTTGCAGACCACCAATATGACTCTGTGTGCGCATGTGAATGTGTGCGTGTGCGTACGTGTGTGAGTGTGTGTGAATGTTTCAGGGGAATACAACTTGACAACAAATACTTCAGGGTACAAACCACTTAAAACGACTTTTTAGCCTCGGTAGCTCATGCACAAGTAGCTGCTATTGACCGTGTTGGCCTCTTTCCGTCCTTTCTTTGCGAGCCAATATGTAAGGACAATGTGTATGGAGAGATGGAGCTTTGAGACACTCCTGGTACGTACACCATGGCCCGTGTATCGTTCATATTATGACCACGTTTAGGTGAGATGTGGTACCCCGCCATCACCGCACACACACACACACACACACACACACACACACACACACGCACGTACACACGCACGTACACACGCACGTACACACGCACGTACACACGCACGTACACACGCACGTACACACATGCACACATACACGCACAAATATATGCACACACATACACGTGTCCATGCAGGTAGATGTGCCGGCTGACCAGCAAAAGGCGCGGACGTTGACTGACGATCAGGCTAAAGAAATTGCCACCATCATGATGAACCTGGAGAAGTCGACGGGTCACCCACAGGACTTCGAGTGGGCCATTGAGGAGGGTCAGTTTGCGACTCTCCCCACGCACAGCAGTGTAGTCGTCTGTTGTTTGCAAGCCGGCGTGTGTGCTTGCGTGTACAATGCTTCACCTGATGTCAGGTGTGTGATGCAGTGCTGCGTTGGGTTTGTGATGTATTGCATGCTAGCACTTTATATGTACTTGTGGCATACCTCCAACTCATCCACACTGCCCTGGACAGCTGTATCTACGGCACTCTACCCTTTTAGTCACTCGCGATGTGTCTCCGGCTTTTGGCATGCTGCTCGACATGTGATCTTTACTGTGTCCAACTGTCCATGCAATGTCGATATGTTTGTGTTGTGTTCTCTGTGTGCCATTCAGGCAAGCTCTATTGCCTTCAAGTCCGTCCCATTGTCACGTTACCGCCCCTTGCATTCTTGGACCGTAGTGCAGCTGGGAATGCGCCGATTCTCTGGGACAACTCCAACGTAGTTGAAAGTTACAGTGGAGTAACAACACCTCTGACGTTCTCCTTTGCATCGCGTGGCTACACACAGGTAAGACGGATGGCTGCATGCGCTTCACGGGCTAATTTGTTTCTTTCCCCGTGACTCCGGTCCCAGGTGGTGTGCATGACACGTTCTTGTCCTTGCGCCGTGTGTGTATGTGTACGTGTGTGTACATGTGTGCGTGAGGGGTGTCGGCCGTTGGACGGTTCAATAGCCAATTGAGTCACCTTTCCAAGCTTCCTTTTGAGTCTCTCTCCCCTCTCCCGGGGAAACCCACGTGACCAGTTTTGGCAGTGAGCAACACGTACAAGTGTGTGTGTGTGTGTGTGTGTTTGTGTGTGTGTGTGTATGGATGCATGTGCGTGCATGTGTGTGTATGTTTGTATATGCGTGTTGGCCGTGTGCGTGCGTGTATGTATGTTCAATGATGCAGACAGCCAGACTGTTTCGGCCAATGAGGCCACATCAGTGCAACTCCGAGCTTGAAATAGGATTGAACTGCCAGCCATGGCTACGAGAACCACAGACATTAGGACAGCTCGATGTACTAGCGCTGAGAGTGCTCAAACTGCTAGAAGCAGCGGGCAAAGCATAAAGCTAACCAGCGCAAGTGCGTCTTATAGTGCTCTGTATAATTATATTCTATATGTTCTGTATGCCATATTTGGTACAGGTGTACACACAGACATTGACAGTCGGTGGTGTACCAGCAGAGGTGATTGCTAAATTCAAGCCCTACCTCTCCAACATGGTCGGTCTGGTGCGCGGTAATGTCTACTACAATCTGACCAACTGGTACCGGTACGTCAATGCTGCTGTCTCCTCACACTCACACTCACAACTGGTACCGGTATGTCAATGCTGCTGTCTCCTCCTCACACTCACACTCACAACTGGTACCGGTACGTCAATGCTGCTGTCTCCTCCTCACACTCACATTCACAACTGGTACCGGTACGTCAATGCTGCTGTCTCCTCCTCACACTCACATTCACAACTGGTACCGGTACGTCAATGCTGCTGTCTCCTCCTCACACTCACACTCACAACTGGTACCGGTACGTCAATGCTGCTGTCTCCTCCTCACACTCACACTCACAACTGGTACCGGTACGTCAATGCTGCTGTCTCCTCCTCACACTCACAACTGGTACCGGTACGTCAATGCTGTGCGCTCCTCCTCACACTCACACTCACAACTGGTACCGGTACGTCAATGCTGCTGTCTCCTCCTCACACTCACACTCACAACTGGTACCGGTACGTCAATGCTGCTGTCTCCTCCTCACACTCACAACTGGTACCGGTACGTCAATGCTGTGCGCTCCTCCTCACACTCACACTCACAACTGGTACCGGTACGTCAATGCTGCTGTCTCCTCCTCACACTCACACTCACAACTGGTACCGGTACGTCAATGCTGCTGTCTCCTCCTCACACTCACACTCACAACTGGTACCGGTACGTCAATGCTGCTGTCTCCTCCTCACACTCACACTCACAACTGGTACCGGTACGTCAATGCTGCTGTCTCCTCCTCACACTCACAACTGGTACTGGTACGTCAATGCTGCTGTCTCCTCACACTCACACTCACACTCACAACTGGTACCGGTACGTCAATGCTGCTGTCTCCTCCTCACACTCACAACTGGTACCGGTATGTCAATGCTGCTGTCTCCTCCTCACACTCACACTCACAACTGGTACTGGTACGTCAATGCTGCTGTCTCCTCCTCACACTCACACTCACAACTGGTACCGGTACGTCAATGCTGCTGTCTCCTCCTCACACTCACACTCACAACTGGTACCGGTACGTCAATGCTGCTGTCTCCTCCTCACACTCACATTGCCGCTGAAACCAGCACTCGTATCCTCATGCACACACATGCACCAACACGCACCCCCCCCCCCCCCCACACACACACATGGTGGCATACGCACACACACACACACACACACGCGCGCGCGCGCGCACACACACACACACACCATTTTGCTACGGTACATGGCAGTTTCCATTGAAATATTTACTATAATCAAACACACTGGTATACCGTTTCTCTGTGTGGCTAATGCCAGTCACACACATGCATACCAAACTATTCCACTACATGTGTTCCTGCGCTTCTATTTCCCCATCTTCTCAGGGCATTGACCTGTCTTCCGATAATCGACACAGCCAAGTTCATGGAAACTATGATGGGAGTTAAACAGGTGCGTGCATATGAGAGTGTGTGTGTGGGAGAGTGTGTGTGGGGGGGGGGGGGGGGGAGGCAGTCTGGGTGTGTGTGTGGGGAGGGGGGTGGGGGGAGGGGGTAGTCAGTCTGGATGTGTGTGTGTGTGGGGGGGGGGGGGGGGGGGGGGGAGGGGGTAGTCAGTCTGGATGTGTGTGATTGTGCACATACATGTATGGCATGTGCTTACCAATGTCACAGTTAGATAGATTTTAGAGTGACATCGAAATGCTGAGATATTGTATCCTGAAATGAATTTGTGAACTCACGAGTGTTGCCCAGTGTCGCCCGCAACCCATTTTCTACTTCACTTTTGATTTAGTACCAAGAGTGAACTGAGTGTTTTGCCAATGCACAGATTGCTATTCTCTAAGCCTATAGGCGGATCCTGCACTGATGTGTTTGTTTGCTTATAGTCCCTTGGTCCAGAGCTGCAAGAGATCATCAATGAGATCGAAGCCAGCAAGCCGGTCTACTCCATCCTGCAGAAAATCTCCATTGTCAGCAACGCGCTGCACAAGAGTAAGGCAGTGTGCCATAGAATTTGATGCACTCGACCCCCCCCCCCCCTCCCTCCCGCCCGCCAATCCTAGTGTTCTCTTTGTAAGAATCACAGCCAATCGGCCTGGAGCAGAATCATGCTAAGCCTTGTCATACTTTGCTCACTGGGAGGGGGGGGGGGGGGGGGGCAGTCTGTCACTGGTGAAATTCCTTCTGCAGATTTTTCTGACCTAGCAGCTATGTTCAAAATTTCAAGTATGGAAACATAGCACTGAGCGTGGAATTCTAGTTGAGAAGAGTGTGGTTGTTTTCCTGCACGTAAAACAATGATTGTCACTGAGATCTGCGGCGTACCGGGTAGGTCTAGACTCTACCTTTCTGCTCCCATGGGACTCCCCCCCCCCCCCCCCCCCCCCACCCTATGATCAGGCACCAGATGCCGCAGCTCCTGAGCGGTGGAGACGCATAGATTAGGTCCATCGGCTAGACCGGGTCCAAGACCGGCCCAATCCCAGTCAGTTCTGCATCCATGTTACCGGCGGCCGTGTAAGTCAAGGCCAGACTCAGTCCCGAACCCCCCATGGGCCATAGCACGAGCAGGAGTTGATCCCGGTACCTCTCATTTCTCTGAAGCATGATCTTTCAGATGACAATCCCGGCAGGGGCGTTCAGATCAATCCCGGTAGGGGCGTCACAAACGGTATGACCAGCATGACCATGGTTGTACCACTTTTCCTCCAGGACAGTCCACCCAATTCATCCCGGAAAAAGCAACAAAAGAGCGCTAAAATGGCCGAGAAATCCGATCCCCCCTCCCCCCGGAACACCCCTGGACCCCAGGTTGGTCCTCTCCCCACTGCCCTGCAGTAACCCCCTGAATCCACTGTTCCTCCTTGCAATAACTATTATAACTCCTTTCTTCTGCATTTTTCAGTCATGGCTTGCCATTTGCATGGTCAATCTCTTCATGCTTTTTGGGGTGCCTTTGTGTTTGTTTGTTGTCGTTGTCATTACCATTCTTTCCCCTCGTCATGATGCAGTCTACTCCATTGACACCCTGGTGGTGAAGTTCTTTGAGTCGTTCAACAAGATCTATGAGAAGGCGCTGAGCACCGATTTCTCCATGTTGACTTTGCAGCAGCAGATGGCGTTTGTCGACATGCTTTTCACCGTAAGTTCACACGGCCTCGACTGTTAGGGTGATGGCGGAATGAAGCGCAGATCAGGCATGGTGTATGACACACACACACAAACACACATAGACACACACACACTCAAACACACACATGCACACTACACACACACACACACACACACACACACACACACACACACACACACACACACACACACACACACACACACACACACACACACACACACACATACACACACACACACACACACACACTACACACACACACACACACACACACACACACACACACACACACACACACACAAACACACATACACACACACACCTGTCCTGTCCTGTCCTGTAGAGCCACTACCTCTAGGGTCACGTGGGCCCCGGAGGGGCAGCAGAGAGAGAGAAAGAGCACGCCACCCGATGGCGCTCCAGATGTGAGACTAGTCGGAACCGGCGAGAGCAGATACACATATGCGGGAACTTGCCCCGTTCTCTGGCCGTTGGTCAGTGGCAGTGCGTTGAACAGCGATGGTGGTTGCGTCCCTGGGTTGAGCGGAAACAACGATTGCAGGTGCCACAGTGAGCATTGCAGCACCTCCGAGCGGTAGTGTCACCAGTGACAACAGCAGCTGGTTCGGTCGGTACTGGGCACGAGGTAGAAGCGGACACACACACACACACACACACACACACACACACACACACACATGTACACACAATCAATATGGTCACAGTACAGGGCGATGATGTCCTAGCATAGTCTATGCCAACGGACCTACGCTGGTACATGCTTGAAGGGAATGTGGACTATGCTTCTTACTTCAAAGTATCATTACTCCAAACAGGAAATTGAACAATAAGAATTGGTGCATAATTCCTCTGTCTCGGCATCGCACGTAGCCAGCGACTCGAATTCCGTAACTTACTGAGGCTGGCTTGCAGGACGGAGTACATGTAGTTGTTTACAATGCTAGCGAGGGAGACTGAGTGAGTGCAAGTGGGGCATCTTGTGGGACACAGAGTGTGCAATCCCGCTTGGTCACGAGCCATACCACCCCTCGAGCATCTGATGTGTGGGATTGTGCTTCGCTGAGTACTAGAGAAGTTTCGCCAAGTCAAACGCGTTGTTTTAACAATCCTTCAACTTGATACACTTGATGTCTCAAACCGCACACATCACGGCAAGGTAAACTGAAAGCATGCCCGTAGCAATGGGTGTGTAAGGCTGTGGGAATCGCCTGTAGCAATGGGTGTGCAAGGCTGTGGGAATCGCCCGTAGTAGCTGTGCTGCGACTCCAGTCCGTATCTTGTTTGCCATTATCACTTCATCACAAGGATTCATCATCACCACTGACTTGTTATCGTGTTGTTGTTGTTGCGATTGGATTCAGGATGTCCTCGGCAAATGGGAAGTTCCCATCATCAACGACACGTACGTTATGATCTTTTTTGGCCTGCTGAAGAAGCTTGTAGCGAGGTGGATGGTCAGCGCTGTGGGTGTGGATGAACACAAGGTGAGTTGCTCAATCAGTGTGGATGAGCACAAGGTGAGTTGCTCAATCAGTGTGGATGAGCACAAGGTGAGTTGCTCAATCAGTGACCTCACTACTGTACACATGTAGTCCACCATAGACTGCTCAACTACTAAATTCATTCTTGTTCCCGCCGTGGAGGTGTCTTGAGTACTCTTTGCTCACTCTCACACCCAGTTAGTGTAGTAAGACCAGTAGTGGTGAAACGAATATACCGAATATTCGAATGTTCGTTCGGTTTGTCACATTCGAACGGATATTTCTCATGGCGAATATTCGCTAACCGGGTATGCAGAGTTTACCGGGCGACTTCAAACTTCCGTAACTTCGCGAATACTTGACCGAACCGCTTCATCGAAAGTTCCATCGGCGTTAGAACACTCTCAGCTGTCGTCTCGAAGCAACCTGGACGCGTTCCGAGGTCCTGGAATGGAGTTATGGCGGTCGAACGAAAAATCACGTCTTGAGCTGTTTTTTGAGCGTGTAGCTGGGGATTTTGTGAAAATTGACCTAGAAATGGTGGAGAAATATGTGCCTTCGTTTGTCATGCCTAATAATAGTGACAATATCCAATAAAATGACTGAGAGGAGGGCGTGTGATGTCATCCGTGTTAACGAAAGAATATTCGTTCGTTCGTTCGTTAAGCCAAAGAATATTCGGCTACTGGGTTTTGATATTCGTTTCACCACTAAAGACCAGTAACGTGTAGTCATGCATACACACTAGGCCATCTCGTTTTCAGGCATCCTCTGTGTGTGTGTGTGTGTGTGTGTGTGTGTGTGTGTGTGTGTGTGTGTGTGTGTGCGTGTGTGTGTGCGTGTGTGTGTGTGTGTGTGTGTGTGTGTGTGTGTGTGTGTGTGCGTCTGTGTGTGTATGTGTGTATGTGCGTGTGTGTTCTTGCACATGTGTGTGTGTGCATGGGTGTATATGATTTTGTGTGTGTGTGCGCATACAAATGCGTATTCCAGGTCCAGTCACTGCAGAATGACTTGCTGTGTGGCCAGGGTGATGTGGAGAGTACAGAGCCTACCAAGATGCTGATGAGAATTGCTGAATTCGTGGACAAGTCTAATAGCGACGGTAAAACTACTTGCCGGGATAGCTTGTCATAATTATCTTACTTGTGCTGCTGATAACTTGATCACCGTAGGGAACCTCCAATGCACTAATCACATCCCCGATTCATTTCGCCAGGAACTTTTAAACACATTCATTCATCTCGGGCACCCTGTAAGAAGACCTTAGTAGGGTCTGTTGGCAATGCCCAAGTAAAATAGAATACAATACAAAACACAAATTGAGGAGGATTCTATGGATCCAGACATTGGAAGAGGCGATTGGGGGGGGGGGGGGGGGGGGGCACCAACACCTGAACATTATTAGTTTTGATACGGCCAGAGTTGAAAGTTTGATGAGTGGAAAGTTTAACGATTTGCAATTTTTTCCCACTTAGCGGTTACAATGTTTTAAAAAGACCCTGTCATCACACACCCACCTTGTAGTTATCTAGTACAGAGGAGAGAAGTAATAGCATCAGCCTTGCAAGTAACGTTTCACTTAGAAAGAGAAAAAAATGGTTCAGCCGCTAGCTGGCCAACCTTTAGGAATGCACTCCCAGTTAGTATAAGACCTAAGCCTAGCTATGGCAGATTGTCACTTCATCTAAGGTCACTTCTTGTTGCATTTTAACCCGGAAGCAGTGGATCTACAAGTGACTGGTAGGTTGTTCACGCAGAAACAACTTTGTCACTAGTTGTAAATAGGCATCTACTTGCGAGGTGAGATTGGCCGCCCAGGAAACGGTTCAATCAAAGCTTATCAACAAGATGTTGATGCGGATATGCTGCACTGTGTCTCCTTGCTACCCACAGATTGTGACCTGAGAGGATGGCTTCTCAACAATCCGGATGATGTCGTTGCTCAGCTGCACACACTTGGGGCTTCGAACATGTACGCACGAGGCTGTG